CGCATTTCTCCGACCAAACCACTTAGTCTTAGGAGAAAGCAAGTCCGTTAGCGGTTTAACCAAAGCCGCATACGCACGAATAAATTTCCTGAAGTAATTAGCAAGACCCAGGAAAGATCGAAGCTCCGAAACATTCTTGGGCAAAGGCCACTGTTGGACAACAGCAGTCTTCCGAGGATCGGGCTGTACACCGTCGGCCGATACGATATGCCCCAAAAACGAAACGGACGGTTTGAAGAACTCGCACTTGGACAGCTTACAGTAGAACTGACGCTGTTCGAGACGTTCAAGCACTGCACGCAGATGCTCAACGTGTTCATCGGCGGTCTTCGAGAAGATCAGAATATCGTCCAGATACACTACCACGAACGGCAAACCCTGCAAGGCTTGATTCATGGCAGACTGGAAGACAGCAGGAGCATTAGTCAGGCCAAAAGGCATAACTTTATACTGATAATGCCCGAAAGGAGTGCGAAACGCGGTACGCTCCACATCGCTAGGATTTAACCGTAACTGGTGATAACCCTGCGTTAAATCAAGTGAGCTGAAAACTGTCGCACCTCGCAAACGATCCAACAAATCATCTATCCGAGGCAACGGAAAACGATTTTTGATCGTGAGGCTGTTGACTGCGCGATAGTCAACACGCATACGCAAAGTCCCATCCTTCTTCTTAACGAACAAGACAGGCGCACCAAAGGGCGAACACGAAGGTTCAATAAAGCCCTTCTCCAAAAGATCCGAAATTTGCCTTTGCATTTCCTCTTGCTCAGGGAGCGAATAGCGAAACATGCGTTGAGCAGGTGGACGAGCACCAGGCTCCAACGGAACGACAGGCGGCAAATTACGATCAGGAGGTAACGAAGCAGGCAACTGGTCTGGAAATAAATGCGCTTTTTCCAGCAACAAAGCCTTAAGACGCAAATCCGCAGGTGACTCGCCGCGCACGACGTCACTAACCTTCTGCGCGAAAGCGGAAACAGACGACTGCGATGGCGGAAGTGACGACTCCCCCCCCGGCAAATTGACAGCATCCGGAACAGGATCCGCAGCCGAGACGAGACATAGGTAGAACGTGTCACTCTCCTCCATGGCCTGCGCAAGTGAGCAATGCGCAACTGCATCCAGAACTTCAGGAGAAGAACCAGATGGCTTAGGAATCGGTGTAAAGGGACCGTTACGCAAAACAGGACGACCCGAGATACGAGTTAAACGGGCAGCGTTATGC